ATATATGAAGCAAGAGAGGTGATTGATAGGTTCGTTAGCTCGATTTAGTCTCTCCACATATATCCAAACACAACAGTGTTCTCCATAAATGTAATACAATAATGATCCATCAATTCAAAATTAAATTTCTATAATAAGTAGTTTCAGAAGAGAGGGTTGCCATTTATTGCGATTGGGACCTCACAAGGAGTGAGGTGACAAGTCCTGTTACATCCTTGTCTGGGATGTTCATGGGATATCATCTAAGTAGTGTTTGGAAGTGGGCCATGGGATCTACTGGTCTGAAGGTCAGAAGAGAGGATGAGCTTCAGAAATGGATTTGGACTCTTCAGTATGAATAGTAATCGAAGCCAGAGGAACACATGGCATTGCCTGGGGAAAGCAGATAAAGAGGAGGCTCCAGGAGGAGCCCTGGGGAAGAAATAAGCTAGACAGAGAGACAAGGGCCTGGAAGGGAGGGAAGAGGTGGGAAAAGCAGGAGAAAAGCCAGGTAGAGGAGAGGTCATCAGTATCCATGGCTGATAAAGGCTAAGTCAGGTCAGGATGCAGAAGGCCCATGATGTTGGTGAAAAGGAAGCTATGGGTGGCTTTGATGAGCACAGCATCAGTGGACTGATCAGGGAAGAACTGAGAAATGACTGAAGAGGACGATGGGATGGCATCCAGAGTAGTTCCCATTCAAGAGAATGGACTGTCAAAGGTAGAGGAAAAATGGAATGGGGTTAGAGAGGAGTAAGTTATAAAAGGCAGAGAATTGATGGGGAAGAGTCAGGAGAGGAAGAGGGACAGAGAGACAGAGGGAGAGGGAGAGGGAGAGGGAGAGGGAGAGGGAGAGGTGGGGGGGCAAAGGAGTAATGTCCTGGAGAGGAAGAAAGGGGAAGTCAAGGGTGCAGATGGAAGGCCTGGACTTGGATGTCTGGGAGAAGAGAGGAGCTGAAGTATGAGTTGCAACTTTGAGGAGAAGAAGCAGAGGGACAGGGGTCAATAGAGCAGCTAAGCGAACTTTGTAAATCACACCACCGACCACACGCACTTGAAGAATGTTGTCATCACACCATGGGTCAAGGATCCAAGGACCCATCCCTCCAACCAGGCAGAAAGAAGAATTGAAGAATTAGTGCTTGGGAGGCAGGGGCTAGGCTCAAGGAAGCTAAGGATGGTGAGGGAGGGAGGAAGGAAGAGAGAGAGAGAAAGAGAGAGAGAGCAGGTTGAACATGCATGCATAGCTGGATTGGGTTAAGTTTAACTTGCCCTACCTTTCTCTTGTACAGTGGGACTTGGTGTGCAGCTCCAACAAACTAAAGGAGTTGGCACAGTCAATCTTCATGGCAGGCATACTGATTGGAGGGCCTTTGTTTGGAGAACTGTCTGACAGGTGAGATGGGCGTGCCCCATGGAACATTACCTCCTGACCCTTTTTCTACCATGCACCCCAAAGAGGCAAGAGCTGGAGGAGGTGGGAAGGATGGTCCTCTCCTCTCTGGGCAGATACCATTCCCCTGCCCGGTGTGGCCTTCTCTCTATTCCAAAGTCCTCGTTTGAGTCTTCTGGCTTCTCCAGACTCCAGGTCTCCAGATACAGTGTTGTGACTGTGTAACATGAAACAACGGCAGATGAACTGCTGAGAGATAAGTGGTCCTTTGACCTCTGCTCAGTCAGCTAATCTGAGGCGGAGGGGTAACTCATTAACTCAATGCTGTAACTGCAAACTTGTTGAAAAACCAGCAATTACCAGCTAGGCTCTGTCTGGAGAGGAAATTATTCCACTTGGTTCATGGGTGAAGTTTGGGAAGGGGCCAACCCTTTGCCCCAGAGCCTGCAGAGTCACTCAGCTTGGCAGATGCACAGTGGCTAACCTGGCGCCTCCTCTCCTTTGAGTTGCAGGTTTGGCCGCAAGCCCATCCTGACATGTAGTTACCTACTGCTGGCGGCAAGTGGTTCAGGCACTGCCTTCAGCCCCAGCCTCCCCGTCTACATGATCTTCCGCTTCCTGTGTGGCTGCAGCATGTCGGGCATTTCCCTGAGCACCGTCATCTTGAGTGAGCCACAGGGGGAGCCCAAGGAGAAGGGACCTGGAGAGCACCATCCAAAAGCTGAGAAAGTGGGGCTGCCCGTGATCTCTCAAGATCCCAGAAGGCCCCTCTGAATTTAACAACAACCACAAGCATCATCATGATAGCTGTCTCTCTGTAGGACTTGCCTGGGGTCTGGGTACTCTGTGAGGTTCACACAGGTCATACACAGGAGTAAATGATACTATATGTATTGAATAGAGATGATAAAGTTGAGGCAAAACAAGGGAAGTCACTTGCCACCGGCAAGGCATGTCAAGAGTGAACTCGGAAGTAGAGAGCCCCAGGTTTGAGTCCTACCTCAGCTTGCAGCATCTGCATATGGGGATAATGAAGTCTTGGGATCAGTTAGGGTCAGGTAGCTACTGGGAGGAGGAGCTGGCACCCCTTCACAGGAAGGTGCCTGGGGCATAACAGGACCCTAATCTGGTCTTTGGACTCCTCTCACAGATGTGGAATGGGTGCCCACCCACATGCGGGCCATCTCATCAACAGTGATTGGGTACTGCTACACCGTTGGCCAGTTCGCTCTGTCCGGCCTGGCCTATGCCATCCCCCAGTGGCGCTGGCTACAGTTAACCGTGTCCATTCCCTTCTTCATCTTCTCCCTGTTGTCCTGGTATGTAGCCCTCTGCTTTTATCCCCTCTTTGGAGCCATCAGGACCAAATTCCATGCCTAACCTGGCTGTCCAGCTCTATCTGTCCCCAGCTTCTTGGTCCTAGAGTCCAGGAAGGCCCACCAGAATGAGAGTTACATCTGCAAAGGCACACTGCGGGAGAGAGCAGGTGGGAGGGGCAGGAGTCGCTTGAGGGCCGTCTGCAGGTTGGGATGGGTGAGAGGGGGCTGGTCTATCAAGAGTACAGAAGGGCAGGGACTCTTCGACTTCACATGGAGAAGGATGGAAAGGTACAGAAAGAATCTGCGGAGGCCTGGACAAAGTTCTATTTGTAAAAGAATGGTCCGGAAGTACAGACCCACATGGTGAGGACAAGCAGCAGAAAAGAGGGGACTGTGCAGGCAGGGGGATTCAGAGGAAAAAATCTGAAATACATTTCGAAAGAAAAATCTACAGAATTGGGAGATTTCCAAAATAGAGCCTCAGCCTAGGAATCTAGGAAAAGGAGGTGCTTGGGTAGGAGACCAGAGTGGGCAGAGAGCTCATTGTCAACCTACCGAACCCAAAACCACACGGAAAGACAGGAAATTCACCCCCATAACCCACTTTTAGAGCCAAAATACTGGAAGTCACAAATGATTCTGAGAAAAATTGTGAAATCTTGGAGTAATCAGTTATAAATTATCCTTAAGACCCCATTCTGGACGCCAGTCTGTATTGTTTCTGATCGTGACAGCTCTGTGTGTTGGGAGCATTACTGTCCCTATTTAAAGATCAGAAAACTCAGGCTCAGGGAAAGAAGCAATTCTCTAAGGTTACATGCAAAAGTACAGAGTTGAGGTGGAACCTCAGTTTGGAAATTGAGGTTCCATCTCACAGAGCTGTCAGAAAGCATGGCCAATCTGAGGACGAGAGAGAGAAACGGGACCAGAGCCACGGCCACAGTCTGAGATAGAAGCAGAGCAAGAGCTATCAGGGTCAGGAGATACAGCAGAGGCACTGCACAGTTGAGAGCTCGGGGCCCTGCACCCTGGGACTGGTACAAGCCCCACCCACTTGAGCCTGATGGGGATGATACTGCCAGTTACCCCAAGTTTTGTAGGGCTGGCCTGCGGGAAGGTTTCCTGACTGGAAACTATTGCTGTCATTACTCTAGGAAGAGAAAACTGGAGTTCCAGCCCTAGCCACAAGTGTGGGAGGAATTCTTTGATAATCTTGGTGAGAGCAGGCCCGTGAGACTGCCAAGGAATTGGAAACTGTAAGCCTAGGAGTGATAGCCTCAGAAAGCCGGGAGCAGCTGTCCGAGGCTAGGTGACCAATAGCCACTCTCCCAAGGCCTGGAGGGAATCCAGACTAAGGGTGGTTAGGGAGGTGAAGGTACAAGACCCTCCAGCTGTTCAACCTCCACCTGCCTCAGCCTAGGCCCTGGGACTCCTAGCTAAGGAAGACATTCAACAACAAGTGATTCAGGTAGAGGAAAGGCTGTTCTAGAAAGGGAAGATCAGCTTGCTGGAATTTGTACTGACTACAGGCAGCCAAGTACAGACGGGCCAAGTTGAAATTCCACGGGAATTGCTTCAGGCAGCTCAGGTTTCTGGACCTCCTAGCCTTCGGGCTTGGGTGCAGAGATGTCTCAAAAGGACCTCTGGAATGGGGGGCCATTATGTTTTGACTCTGACCCCCAGGTGGGTACCAGAGTCCATACGCTGGCTGGTTCTATCTGGAAAGTTCTCGAAGGCCCTGAAGACTCTGCAACATGTGGCTACCTTCAATGGCAAGAAGGAAGAAGGGAAAAAGCTCACCATGGAGGTAGGTGCAGAGAAGACTGTAGTCAGGGCAGGGCCATGTGTCTGCTTCTCTTCCTTGTTTCCTTGGCTCACAACCCATAGCCCATCTGCTCCCCCCAATGAATCTTCTGGACGTAGTAGATCTGCGCCTCCTTCCTTTCCATCAGCCATCACACTAATGGTCCCCCTCCTTCTCCTCTGTCCCAAGGAGCTAAAGTTCAACCTGCAGAAGGACATTGCCTCAGCCAAGGTCAAATATGGCATATCTGTCTTGTTCCGGGTACCCATCCTGCGCCGTGTGACTTTCTGCCTCATCCTGTCTTGGTAACCTGTCACCCCTCCCTGCCTATACCCTACCAAGGCAGGGGTGATGAACAAGGAGGGGTTCAGCAGATTCACCTAAGGGCAAAACCTAGAGAACCTGCAAGATAAGTCAAGGGAATGCCTCCAGAGGGCCAGCACAGCCTGCATCCCAGAAGTCCCAGGTTCAGCCATGAAGTTCTGCTTCCCTCTGAGGTCACACCCCCTACTCACAGGTCAGATGCTTCAGACCCCTTCATCAGTTCACATCCTGATCGTGGCAGCTCCCCGACACTCTGCCTCTCTATTGCCGAAGCCCTGTGGCCTAGCTCTGTGCTCTGGAACTCCACAGAACAAAGCTAACCCTCTGGGCTTCAGACTTGCAGACAGAAATTATGTATCTCCCAAGTTTCCTCTTCTGTCTGACATTCTCCATCTCCCTCCAAGCCCCTTGTAACCTGGTTGCCAGACCATTCTCCATCCTAGTCTTCCCCAGGAAAATAGAATTGAATTCATCCAGCACTTTGCAAAGAGGATTCTACAATTCTAAGAGGACATCGAGGAGCATTTGACTCCTATTCACAGCTTGACTTTCGTCTTGACCAATCTGGATGTTCTGCCTCTTCCCAACCAAAATAGACATGTTATTCTATAGAGTCAATCTTAGGCATCTTTACCAAGACATCCTAGGTCATGCCCCTATCATACATAACCAATCAATCCCAACACTTTTGATTTATTTATCTTTACTTTTATGTGTATGAATGTTTTGTATGCATGTATGTAAGTGCACCACATGCATGCTAAGCCCACGGAAGCCAGAAGAGGGCGTTGGATTCCCTGGAACTGGAGTTACAGACAGTTGTTAGCCACCATGTGGGTGCTGGGAATCGAACCCAAATCCTCTGCAAGAGCAGCCAGTGCTCTTAACTGCTGGGCTATCTTTGCAGCCCTTCAATCCCAGCACTTTTTCATTGAACCTAGACACAATCTCACAAGACTCAAACAGTACTCAAGCAGTTCCTATCAATCAGCTGCAGATGGCACAAGAAACGAGCCTGTCTATCATCCTAGTGACCCACAATGTGCTATGGGAAAAGGCCTCAGTTTGGCCGCAAGTGCTGATCAATCCCTCTCTGTCCCTCAGGTTTGCTACTGGTTTTGCCTACTATAGTCTGGCTATGGGGGTAGAAGAATTCGGAGTCAACATCTACATACTCCAGATCATCTTTGGCGGGGTCGACATCCCAGCCAAGTTTGTCACCATCCTCTCCATAAGCTATCTGGGCCGACGCATCACTCAGGGCACTCTCTTGCTGCTGGCAGGAGGAGCCATCTTGGCTCTCATCTTCGTGCCTTTGGGTGAGCGGTTAGGGTCACCCCAGAAGCCTCTGGAAGAAGCTGCCACAAGCGGGAAGTGAGCTCCAGATCTGTTAAATCTGCCTCTGACTCATGGTGTTGCCTTGAGCAGATCCCTCCCTTTTCTGGGGCTCACTCTTCAAGTAAACAAGTTGGGCTCCATGACATCTAAGCTCTTTCCCAGCTCTAACTTGGACCTGGCAAAGCATAGTAGTGTCTGGACAGTATAAGGAATTGTTTGAGGGCTGGCCATACCCTAGGTGGCATTGTGGTGAAGAACAAGCTGAGAAGGAAGAACAACATATCTCAGTGCCTTGGAAAGACCACTCAGCCTACCCCACCACAACCTTGGAGAGTCGTGTGTGTGTGTGTGTGTGTGTGTGAGAGAGAGAGAGAGAGACAGAGAGAGACAGAGAGAGACAGAGAGAGAGAGTACACATGTTCATGAGTGTGCAGATGCACACAGACCTGTGTGTGCAGGTCTGTGAAGTCCAGAAGACAGTCTCAAATGTCAGTCTTCTGGCACCGCCCACCTTTTTTATTATATATTGGGGGGATGAGCAGGCAAGACACTCAGCTTGTGTAGCAGTCAGATGACAACCTGCAGGAGTCAGGTCTCTCCTTCCACCATAAGGGTCCCAGGGATTAGACTCAGGTCAACAGGCTTGACACCAAGCACCTTTACCTACTGAGCCATCTTGCTGGCTCCATCCACCATTTTTCTAAAGATAAGGCTCTTTCACTGGCCTGGAACTGACCAAGTAGGCTAGGTTGGCTGACCATCAAGTCCCAGGGATCAGCCTGCCTCTGCTTTCCCAGTGCTGGGATGATAAGCACAGGCCACCATGGCTGGTTTTTAACATGGGTTAAACATGGGTTTAGCATGGGTTCTGGGGATTGAACTCAAGTCTTCCTCCTCACAAGGCAAGCACTTTACTGACTTAACCATCTCCCCAGTCCCCAGCTTTATTCTATACAGGTATTTGAGGATAAACCTCTATCCCAAATGAACCTGAGGTATTTTAGGGCAAGAACATGTGCAACAATATATTAATGGGAATGGAAAATTAGAGCCAAGAGAAAGCACAGACACAGCAAGATGCAACAATCAAAGCAATAGGAACAGGAGAAGGTTCACTACACACCTTTATGTTTGCATCTGAGCCCAAGCACAAAGGGAGGCTAGACCTGCTAAGGAGCAAGAACATTCCCCTACTCACGAACAACACCCTCCCCCTCTGCAGAAATGCATCTCCTGAAGACAGCGCTGGCTGTGTTTGGAAAGGGATGTCTATCTGGCTCCTTTAGTTGCCTCTTCCTCTACACGAGTGAACTCTACCCCACAGTCCTCAGGTAGGTGCTGCACCTGGGGCAGGGACTAAGCAAAGGATACAGAGCCGGGGGGTCTCATGGCATCCTCCACCTGCCCCTTACCCAGAGGTGCCAGGACCATCCTTTAAAAGCCACAAACACAGGCTGTCAATCCCTGCTCCAAACCTTCCCAGGCAAACAGGTATGGGCGCTACTAACCTGTGGGCCCGTATGGGAAGTATGATAGCCCCACTGGTGAAAATCACGGGTGAGGTGCAGCCCTTCATTCCCAACGTCATTTACGGGACCACGGCCCTACTGGGCGGCAGCGCTGCCTTCTTCCTGCTCGAGACCCTCAATCGGCCCTTGCCAGAGACTATTGAAGACATGCAAGACTGGTGAGTGCTCTGCTTCTGACCCCAAACAGCTGCCCTTTGGAGAGGCAGGTTGGGATTTTTCCTAAGCTCTATGTCCCTAGGCAGCAACAAAGAAAAGAAACAAAGCAGGAGCCAGAATCAGAAAAGGCATCCCAGATGATCCCTCTGAAGACTTGCGGGTCTGACCCCAGCTAAGGACAACAAGAACCCACTTTCCTGCCCTGCAGAGACTGATTCCAGCCAGGGCCCTGCCAGGGCTCCTCGAGGTCCTTGGGCATTGTGGGAGGCCCTGGGTGGGTTGATGCTCTTGAGAGGAAACCTTCCAAGAGCTCAGTGGAGGTTTCTCCTCCATCATCACCCTCAACCATAGCCCACAGCCTAGACCTGGCCTGTGCAAAGCTTTGGCTGCAGGCCTTCTGGTAATCACCCCTGCAAGCATCCTCCCTGCACCCCAGGCCCTGTGGTTCTTTTATGTATCCTTTCTACACTGGTCACTTCCTCTGTCCAGCTCCCACCTTTTGTCCCTGAGATCCCCTGGCTCAGTTCTAACAGTTTGTCCCCCTCTTCCCTCAAACTCTTTTTTTTGGTTGGGAAATGTCAATAAGATACAATAAAGAATTCACAATGAAGAATGCTGCTAAGGAAAGGGGTGAAAAGGAGGAGGGCTGGCCACCCTGTGGACATGTGAGCACACACCTGTCCATCTGTACTGCACAAATATGCAGATATGGGCACCCAGGCGCATGCAAGCTGGGCTGGTGTGTCCTAGTCCGTTTGTCCTGCTGTAATAACCAATAATGGCTGGATTGTCTAAATGATAGAACTTTATTGTCCATAGTTCTAGAGGCTGGGAAAAGCAAGGCATAAGCATTTGATGTTTGGTGAGAGACTTCCTTTCCTTACCCCAGTGTCAGAATAACAGAGCAAAAAATCAAAGTTTACCCCCTCCACCCATTTCATCAGGCACTCATCTGTCCTGAGAACAGATCTGTGTTTCCATCACTATAACAAAATACCTGAAGTAAACAACCTAAAAAGAAGAAAATCTTATTTGGCCTCAAAGTTTGAGGTTTCGGTCCAGGTCACTACCAATACCCCTTCAAAGACACACCCCTAATGACCTAACTTCCATCTACTAAGCCCTACTCCCATCAGATTTACCTCCTGTTGGCCCCAGTGGCTGGCCACCACACCTTCAACCTTTGGGGAGCACTTCAGATCCAACAATAACAAGAACCTCATGATTTCATCTCCTCCCAAAAGGCTTTATCCCTTACGACCATCACACTGGGGACTCAGTTTCAAAATGTGCATTTGGGGAAACATTCAGACTGCCACTGGATGCCTGTGGGAGTGCTCTGTGGAGTATGTCCATCAGACCTGTGCCTGGAAATACTGTCTGCCTGTACATCTCCACATGCATATGAGATGACTAGACAAGCCCAGAGTGGCTACAGGCAGAAGTTGGGGCTCTCAAATCCCAACCCTTTACTTCTGCTTGCCCCAAATCTCTGATGGTTCTTACCCCATCGCCATATTCAATGGATGGTTTTATGTCTCATTTAGCTAAGAAAACAGCAGCCATAGCAGGATACCAGCACGTCTCTCACGTTTGTTGCTTCCCTCCAGCAGATGGTCCTTCCACCAAGACAGTGTCCAGCCTCTCCTATCACCACTCTTTCCTCCTTGCATCTCAGTCCATTTCCTCTCTCTCAGATCCGCTCCATCATCAGTTAAACAAGCTCACTCTCCCATCTTAACAAATCCAAAAGCAAACCAACAACCCCGTTCTGGATGTCGTTGCTCCTTCTAGGGACCACACCATCAACATGAAAGTTTCTCCTGTTTGAAGCTAAATTTCATGTAGGAGCTATCTACCTGCCCTGTATCCATTTTGTAACCGCATACATCTCCCTGGCAGCACTCTGATCCACACCCTTCCTGTCTGACTGCTTTCAGCAGGGACTGTCAGCACCCCTCTTGATGAATCCATTGGTCCATTTTAATCCCTCTTCCTCCTGGCCCCTCAGCATATTGGGCCCTGGCTGCCTTGCTTTCTGAGATGGCTGGTGCTTGCAGCTCCCTCTCATGACTTGGCCGCTCCTTCTCATGCGGCTTTGAGGTTTCCTATAAATAAAATGTCACAGTGGTCACTTTGACCCCTATCCCTTCTCTATGGGTTTGTATTCCTAAAACCTGCTAAATCAAATAGTTCCAGAACTCCCCACTTCTTGTCATGACTGAATAGACCAGAAGGCATACGGAATCCAAATCTTATCAATCATATGTTCCATCCTGAACTGGAATTTGAGATAGTATATTAGTCTGTTTTCTGTTGCTATAAGAAAATATCCAGGCTGGGAGTGGTGGTGCACACCTTTAATCCCAGCACTCGGGAGACAGAGGCAGGCGGATCTCTGTGAGTTTGTGGCCAGCCTGGTCTCCATAGCGAATCCAGGCCAGCTAGGGCTACAGGGAGACCCTGTCTCATTGGAAAGCTTCATAGTCTGGGGGTTGGGGATTTAACTCAGTGGTAGCGCGCTTGTCTAGCAAGTGCAAGGCCCTGGGTTGACCAAAAAAAAAAAAAAGAGAGAGAAAATATCCAAAGCTGAGTACCATATCTATCCTATGCTCGGGAGGCTAAAAGTCTAAGATCAGGTGGCCTAACCTGCTCATGCTCTGATAAGGACCTCAGAGTAGATGACATCACAGTAGCAGGGGCACATGTAGACAAGATCATGTGCAAAACAGGGAGAGATTCGGGGAACAAGATTGTGCTTGTTCTACAGTCTTATCACTGATCCAATGATGTAAAAGTTCCACCATGGCCCAACATCACCACAGAGAGCCAGGCTTCCACAGGACATGAACCCGACAGCAGAGGGGTTCTAGATCATCTGTTTCTTAGTGTTTGCCTCGGCTTGCAAGTGTGCACGATGCTGGCCTGGCCCAGATGCCAGAAGAGCAAAGAAAGCCAGTTGCAGAGACAGAACAAAGCAGACACACAGGGAAAAAGAAAACAAGGGCCTACCCAGCCTCAGTCCAAAGGCGGGTAGGTGGGACTACTTACATTCGTTCTGAATGGATTCCAAGCCCCAGTTCTTCAGCCTTGGGTGTGCTTTCTGCACCTGGGTTCTATTAAGCATCCCAAAGTTCTCCAAGAAAACCCCCTTCTTGTTTAAGTTATGGAGAGGGGTCTTCCTTTGTCAGTCTCCACCTTATTTTTCAGACATGGTCTCTCACTGAACCTGGAGCTCACTGCTTGAGCTAGACTGGCTGACCAGGAAAGCCCAGGGATCCTCCTGCCTCTGCCTCCCCAGCACCAGGATTATATGTGTTCATTGCTGCACTGGCTTTTAAGTGAGTGCTGGGGATCCAGACTCAAGTCCTCACACAGCAAGCACTTTACCAACTGAGTTCTTTCACCAGCCCCACATGTATATTTTTTAATTTACTTTTATTTTATTGTGTGTGACTGTTTTACTTGCATGTATAGAGGTGCACCCATGGTGTGCAGTACCCGTGGATGCCAGAAGAGGGCATTGGAACCATTGGAACTGGAGTTACAGATGGTTGTTAGCCACCATGTGGGTGCTGGAAACTGAATCCAGGTCCCCTGCAAGAGCAGCCAGTGCTCTTAACCACTGAGCCATCTCTCCAGCCCCCACAACTATGTATAAATTTAAATTTTAAATTTCCTCTTAGTCATTTTTAAAAAGTGAAAGAAACATGAGATTCATTTTAATATGTATACAATATATTTTACTTAGCCTAATATTTTTAAATATTGCCATTTCAGTATTAATCTACAAAAAGTTATTAATGAGTTTTTTTTCATCATCTCTCATTCATACTAAATCTTCAAAATATGGTGTGTAATTCACACTAATGGTCTTAGTTTGGATCAGCTCCATTCAAGCACTCAGTAGTGGCTATTGGCTACCACACCAAACAATACACTCTACAGTTTCCATTATCAAACACAGAGCTAACGACTACTCTCAAATATGGATTTAGAGATCTGATAGAGCACTTAATAAAGATGAAAATAATTATATGGCACTCCTATGTCTCCCTTTTTGTGACTTCCCATGAAGGTAAAAATCTCACCCCTCTTACAAGACACACCAGAATCAGGCCCCAACTGGCCTTCAACAACTTCAGGGGTTTTGTTGTTTTGTTTTTTGTTGTTTTTTGGGGGGGTTTTTTTGGCTTTTTGAGACAGGGTTTCCCTGTAGCCCCAGCTGTCCTGGAACTCACTATGTAGACTAGGCTGGCCTTGAATTCACAGAGATCTGCCTGCCTCTGCCTCCCAAGTGCTGGGATTAAAGGCGTGCGCCACCACATCCAGCGACAACAGCTTCAGTTTTTAACATTCCATTTTCACGTGCTGAAATCCAGCCTCACCCAACTTCTTTCCGTTCATAAACTGCTCGAGCCCTTCACTCAGCACTTGACTTCTCACCATCCAACTCCCACTGCACTTGGCTCACGACCCAACTCATCCTCAAGGCCTCAACTTGAGTAACTTCCTCCAGAAAACCTTCTATGGCTCCAGAGCCTGCTGATCACATACTGAATTGTGGTCACAGTTGTGTCTACCTGTGGACTGACCCTGAAGCAGACCCCAAGACAAGGATTTGAATGCAAGAGGTTTCTTTGGTGAGAGAGCCGAGGAAGCAGGAAGAAGAGTAGAAAGTTGGGGAAAGGAAGCAAGAACCAGGAGTGAGAATGAGCAGGGTAGAACCCCTCCATCTTCCTCCTCCTCCTCCCCCAGCAACGCCCCACCTCCACAACCTCCACTCCACCCTTCCCAGCCTCATGAGAAACAGTGAACTTCCCATTTGCATGTGTGTGTGTCTGTGTTATATGAGTATATTGCCTACAGGTATGTAAGCTCACCCATGTTGTGCAATGCCTGAGGCAGTCAGAAGAGAGTGTTGAAGTCCCCTGGAGCTGGAGTTACAGACAGTTGTTAGCAGCCATGTGGGTGCTGGAAATTGAACCCAAGTACTCTGCAAGAGCAGCCAGTGCTCTTAACTCCTGAACTATTTCTGCAGCTCCTACATGTATTTCATATGCAGGAGTCTCCCTTGCCAACCTTCAGGTAATTTGGGGCAGATACCCAAGACCAGCCACACTGCCCACTGAGATCTGTCTTTTACACTGTGATTACCAGACCCCACATTGGAGGCTGATTTCTACCTATGGTATTTCCACCTTGAAGCCTCAGATCAGCTGACAAGGAGGCCACATGCTTCCCCTTGGCTTCACTGGATCCCCACCAGACGGGAGCCGACTCAGTATAAATCACCGGTCTCTACACTCTCCCCATCTGTTAGTGGCCTGGAATTCAGGATGGCTCCTAGAATGCCCTAGCCACAGCCATTCCTGCACTGGGAATGGGTTTGTGGCAGACATACTCTAAGAGAACAGAAGACGCCCAGGAAAGCACTTCCCCACTCATGTGGTCAGGACTCACCTGTGAGTCACCAAATCCCCAGTCCTCCTCTCCATCCTGCTGTTCGTCTACTACGTAGTTTCTCTTGCTTCCTCTGTGCCCTTCTCTCTGTCCCTCTTGGGCAGAGTCCTAACACTGGGTTGCCTCATTGGTGACTGGTATCATATATAGCTTTTGGAGTTGTTCTGTTATTGAAATAGGTCTCATGTAGCCCTGTCTGGCCTCTAACTTGCTGTATAGCCCAGGATGACCATGAACCTTTTTTCTTTTTTTCTCAGACAGGGTCTCCCTGTAGCCCCAGCTAGTCTGGACTTGCTCTGTAGACCAGGCTAGCCTTGATCTCATAGAGATGCCTCCTAAGTGCTAGATTAAAGGCTTACAGCCACTACACCTAGCTTTTGGGGGCGGTGAACTTTTGAGCCTCCTGCCTTCACCTCCCACATGCTGAGATTACTTACGTGTGTCATGACACCCCATTTTATACAGTGCTGGGGGAGATTCAGGGCTTCCTGCCTGCCTTGCCTCTATCAACTAGGCTATATCCTCAGTTCATATCCAGCTCTTTTTTGCATTTCATGTGTTATAAGTTTTATGCCTCCTTGTCTGTAAGTGCACCCGTGGTATACAGTGCCCACAGAGGTGTGTTAGTCACTTTTCTGTTGCTGTGATAGAAACACTGACCCACGCAATTAATAGAAGGAATAGTTTATTTGAGCTTACGGTTACAGGGGAATTACAGTCCGTCATGGCAGGGAGGCATGGTGGCTGGAGGTGGCTGGAGCAGGAGCAGCAGAAGCTAAGCTCTCACATCATCATGCAGGCACAAGAAGCAAGAGAGCAACTGGAGATCTGGCAAGGCTTAAGAACTCTCTGAGCCCACCCCACCCCCCGTGACATGCTTCCTCCAGGATAGCCACACCTTCTAAAACCTCCCAAAACAGCGCCATCATCTGGAGACAAAATGTCCAAATACTTGGAGCCTATGGGGGACATTTTCATCCAAACCATCACAGGAAGCCAGAGGGGGCATCAGATCCCCTGGAACTGGAGTTATAGACGGTTGTTAATCACCATGTGGGTGCTGGGATTTGAACCCATGTCCTCTGCAAGAGCAACCAATGCTTTTAACCGCTGAGCCATCTCTCTAGCCCCTCATATCCAGCTTTTAAACAGCAGTTTTAGATGGGTTTCTAATGCCTGCTGGTCAAGTTAGCTATGCCCCAAATTGCCTCAGAATTCTTTCTTCAGACGCTGCTGCCAGGCAGGTGGAGTCTTCTGAACTCTCTGGGTATTTCAAACTCATGCTTAGAGCATGTGATCTAAGTAAGAGTGCCTTCCTTGATCTGTAAATTATTTATTCAAAAGGTGTCAGCAAAGTAATAAAAATCACATGTAGTCTCACACTTCCAATCCCATTTATTTAACAGACTATAGTTACAAAAAGTCAACACTTATTCCAAAAAAATCTAGCCTATGAGATGGCTACTTGCAGAGTAGGAAGAACAAAGGAGTCGAGAGAGCTGAGTTCTAAACTTGCTACATGATCATGGGCAAATCTGTTGTCTGTCTGAGCCACAGACTCCTTTGTATCATGAGACATTTTCAGCTCAGTGATGGCTCCCAAGTCCAACAGCGTGTGGCTCTGAGAAAAAAAGAAGCTTCTGCCCACATCTCAAATCCCCCAGATTTGACACCTTCCTGCTGAGAACAGCCAGAATATAAACCAATGTTCTACTTAGCACAGAGGAGTTCAATCCTAAGTTTTTGTACCCACAAGATCTTCAAAGGATAGTTCCCACCTCTGAAAATCATTCACCATAGCAGAAAACACATCCAGAAAGCCTCCATGGGCTGAGAATCTGCTGGGGAATCCCTTTGCCACCCTGATGATGCCAGGAACCCACCACAATTCAGGCCCTGGAGTCTCCAGTGGGGTTTTTTATGGACTCAGCCCAGCTTGGAGCTAGTCAGGCACTAGGAAGGAAGTTCTTGTCCAGGGCAGGGTTAGACAAAGGCTTAGAGAGGAAGGGTGTTGCAGGAGGCCACCATCACCCTCGATGCCCTCTGCACTCCACCCACTCCTTGTCAGGGCACAAAGTCCTGGCAGGAGACTGGCCCCACAGCCCCCAAGCTGTTTGTCCAGCTGTCCTCACCTCCCCAGGCCACAGACTCTTATATGCCTTGGCCTGAAGAATGTTGTCAGACATCTGGACACCCACTGAGCCCGAGCTAGAACCAACACACGCTGGGAAAGGGAAGCTGGGGTTGAGTTACAACCTCCTCTGGGCCTCTTCTGTACATAAGAGATTAGATCATCTCTAAAACCCTTTTAGCTTGGCTGTCTACACCTCCAGAGCCTCAGTTAAGAAGTGCATGCCTGTAACCCCAGCACTTGGGATGCTGAGGTCAGAGAGTTGTGAGTATGATGCCAGCCTGAGATATATACTAAAGCCCTGTTGAAGAAGGAGAAGAGGAAGGAGGAGGAGGGGAAGATAGGACTTCCTACGCATCTTTGAAGTTAGACTTTAGTCTAACAGCTTATGTATCTGAAGGCCTCTGAAGGCAATAAATCTCTTCCCAATTAAATATATAAAAGTGCAATTTGCAGAAACATAACATCTGGACTTTTTATGGGGTTTTGTTTTGTTTTTGGTAGGAAGGGAATCTTTGAGACGGGATCCTATATAACTCAGAGTAGTCTCAAACTCATTATGTAGCCAAGATGGGACTTGAACTACTGACCCTTCTGCCAAAGCTGGTTTTGAATTCCCGAGCTCAACACCTCCGGCCTTGGACTGTCCAGCAGCTAGGGCTATAGGCACAAATCACCATATGTAGATAAATGTTTTTTTAGACTCTACCTGTATTGGGCCATTTACCCTCCAATAATGCAATAAAGGGGTTGTAATCATCATCCCTATCTTGAAAGCAGGGGAACTGGGTGCAGAGGAATTTAATAACTTGCCCCTGGTTACATAGCAAGAGACGATGGGAAGAGGTCTGACTCCAGAGTCCAGTGTTTTACATACTATGTACTGTGCAAATCAAAGTGTTCTCAGCATCCCCAGTCTGTGATCCAACCAATCATATCCCATGGAAACATCCAATCAGTGTTCAACACTGCCTCTGCTCCTGAGTGACCAAGAATCAGGAGCCAAAAGCTGTTGGAGGAATTCAAATAATGTCTTAGAGTTGTAGCTAAAAATAAAATAAACTCATGCTCATTGTTTAAAAAAAACACATAGAAAACATAACAAAGGGAAAATTTTGAAACAAGATAATTAAGAAGGGAAACAGGAGCCAGTGAAATGGCTCAGCAGGTAAAGGCACTTGCTGCCAAGCCTGATGACCTGAGTTTAGTCCCCGTAACCCACGTAACAGAAGAAAGGAACCAACTCCCACAAGTTGGTCTCTGACCTCCATACACACACATATACACAATAAATAAAATAATAAATAGATATTTTTTGTTTTACAAAGGTAAGTGGAGTGGTGGTGTACATCTGTAATCCCAGCATGTAAGAGATGGAGGCAGGAGGAGCCATTCAAGACCAGCCTTGGAGACATAGAGAGTTTGAGGCCATCATGAACTACATGAGAACTTCTGTTTAAAAAAAAAAAAATTGAAGCTGGAGAGATGGCTCAGCAGTTAAGGGCACTGGCTGCTCTAGCAGAGGACCCAGGTTTGATTCTCAGCACCACATGGCAGCTGACGCCCTCTTCTGTCCTCTACAGACATTGCACAACATGCGTGCAACTTACATACATGCAGGCATAACACTCATACACATTAAATTAAAATGAACAAATAAATAAATATATTTATAAAAAGATAAAAAATTAAAAGGCTGATGGCACACGTCTTTAATCCTAGCACTCAGAGGTAGAGGCAGACAGATCTCCATGAGACCAAGGCCAGCCTGGTCTATATAGTAAGTTCCAGGCCAGCTGGGGCTACAGGAAGACTTTGTCTTGAAAAAGCCAAGGGAAAAAAACTAAAAAAGATAATTAAGAAGAGAGAAAGCTGAGACCCTGGAAGGATGATCCCCCCATCCCATAATACATGACTTTTTTCTTGGCTCTCACGCCTTCAAGAAAGTCTCTGTCCACTATTGTTTCTTCTAATTGCACAAAGCCATGGTCCTATAAGATGTGAGCTGTTCCCAGAAGCCCAAAGACCACTGCTCAATTTAGCAAATAAAAAGACAAGATTCCCAATCAAATCTGAATTTCAAATAAATAAATAATTTCTGATATAAATGTGTCCTATGCAAAATTAGGGCTATGCTTTTTTTTTTTTTTTTTGGTCTTTTTGAGACAGGGTCTCCCTGCAGCCCCAACTGTCCTGGAACTCACTGTGTAGACCAGGCTGGCCTTGAACTCACAGAGATCCACCTGCCTCTGCCTCCCAAGTGCTGGGATTAAAGGTGTGCGCCACCACGCCCGGCTTGCGGGCTATACTTTTTTTAAATTGCTCATCAATCTGCAGTTCAGACCCAACTAGACTTCCCATATTTTCTCAGGCATTATTCCCAAAGACAGACAGCCTCATCCACAGAAACCCTTCAGGAGGTCACCACATTTGCCAGAGCGCAGTCTCCTCAACAGAAGGAAGACAAAAGGTCCCATGTTGTCCCCTTCTGCACCTCGATGCCCAGATGGACTATCTCAGCACATGGATCCTCTCCACTCCCAGGCTCATCCACCCTCTCCTGCCCTTTATACCCACTTGGAGAAATTCCACTGGCATAAGGAATACTTGGAGGGTTAATTCTTCTGATATCAAGTCACACTTTAACTCATTCTCTCCAGGTCAAGGAATAAAAGCTGCCCGCGGAAGGGTCAGGGCTCCAGCGGACCCTGAAAGCTGAGCCATCCAGACCCCCGAAGTGAAGAAAAGAAGGAAAGGGAGGGACAGAACTAGGGGAGAGAGAAAGAGGAGGGGCAGCCCACCAGCCCGCTATCCCTCCACAGAGCGGGCTCAGTTCCAGCTCCAGGAGTCACTCAGCTGCAGAGGCAGCGGCAGCCCCAGTCCTCAGGCAAAGGACAGCAGGCAGACAGACAGACAGAGACGCTAGGACGAGAAAGCCTTAGCCCCTGGCCACTGCCTGGCCCGGCCCCATGGCTTTCAATGACCTCCTGAAGCAGGTAGGGGGCGTCGGACGCTTCCAGCTGATCCAGGTCACTCTGGTGGTTGTCCCCCTACTGCTGATGGCTTCCCACAACACCTTGCAGAACTTCACCGCTGCCATCCCCACCCACCACTGCCGCCCACCTGCCACTGCCAACCTCAGTAAAGATGTGGGCCTGGAGGCCTGGCTGCCCAGGGACAGGCAGGGTCGGCCCAAGTCTTGCGTCCGCTTTACCTCCCCACAGTGGGGATCCTTTCCCAATGACACAGAAGCCAATGACACTGGACTCACAGAGCCCTGCATCGATGGCTGGGTCTATGACAACAGCACCTTTCCTTCAACCATTGTGACTGAGGTAAGGACTTGGGGAACCTTCCTTCTACTTCCCTCTCAGACAGACAGACAGACAGACACACACACACACACACACACACACACACACACGCACACACAGACTTTCAAGTCCCCAGGGTCAAGATCAGAAGATAAGACAGATGCCTATATTTTTAGAGCAGGCAGATATGGATGCTGCCGAGTGCTTTAAATGTTCTTAGGAACAATAAGACAAATGGCAGAGGAAAGTACTCAGGGAAGAGGGTGGCATGGGCCCCAGAGGACCAGCCTAGAGGAGACTGAGGGCTTTCCCTGCATCCTGGCTCTTCTCTACCCTATTCTTGCCTGCCTTTCCCCACAGTGGAATCTCGTGTGTTCACAACGAGCCTTCCGCCAGCTGGCCCAGTCCCTGTACATGGTGGGAGTGCTGCTGGGGGCTATGGTGTTTGGCTACCTGGCAGACAGGTCAGTCCTGGGTAAGCCAAAGGGCTGGGCTAAACTGGGATTGCGAGCCCCCTAGCTGGATTGAGCGGACCCGAGTGGGAGGTGTGCATTCCACAAGGGTGGCTTGTTTGAGGTCTACAGTGCCAGGTTCAAAATACTGCCTGTAAATCTTTAAAAGACTCCCAGCCCAGGGCCTCAAGCACGGCTGTTACTCCCTCTAGTGTAGCACTTCCTGGCCCCCAGCAGTCCTCAGACCTCTGACACAGATCTTCCCTCCCCCATAGGCTGGGCCGTCGGAAGGTACTGATCTTGAACTACCTGCAGACAGCTGTGTCAGGGACCTGTGCAGCCTACGCACCCAACTACAGCGTTTACTGTATCTTCCGACTCCTCTCGGGCATGTCTATGGCTAGCATTGCCATCAACTGCATGACTCTAAGTGAGGGCTGCTCACCTACGTCCCCTCTCATTACCCAGTCCTGCCAGCCTCCTCCCCCAGCCCACCCCTCCTGAGCCCTGCCAGCCCCCAACCCAATACCTCCCTTAAGTCTACACTTCCGGAAAATAGAATACCACATTCCCAGGCTCATGTCATCTAGACCCCTCACTTAGTAATGAGATTGCAGAGACCCCCGGCAGAGTCAGAGGTCATGTGACCAAGGCAAGCCAGGTACCGGAGATCTTGGGCATGGTGAGGACTGTATCCAAAGGAGATCCAAAGGATAGATGGCCAGGCATGGTGGCACATGACCACAATCCCAGCACTCAGGAGGCAGAGGTGGGAAGACTAGCCCATGTTTGAGCCTTGACAGATCTACATAAGGGAGTTTCAGGCCAGCCTGAGCTAAATAGTAGGGAGCAGGAGGGGCAGTGGGATGGCTCAGTGGGTAAAGGCACTTGCCATCAAGACTGACAACCTGAGTTTGATCCCCAGGACCCACATGGTGAAAGGAGAGAATTAACTGCTCCACACATACACCACAGCATACACACAAATTAAGCAATTAATTAATAAACAAATAAATGTATTTTTTTAAAGACACATCCTATTCAGAGATGCCAAAGACACTCAGTCAAGAGGTCAGATCTCGCTCCATTTTTTGTTGCTCTTTGTTCTGTTTAGTGTGTTTGTTTGGTTGGTTGGTTTGGTTGTTGAGACAGGATCTTACCATGTAGCCTGAGCAGCCCCAATTCATGATACTCAGCCTCCCTTCCCAAATGCTGGGATGATGCACATGCATCACCATACCCAGATCTCTCCGTCCTTTTTGAATAATGTAAAATGTCCCAATTTTGGGGGGTCTTATGAGACAGGGTCTCCCTGTAAAACCAAACTGGCCTGGAACTTGCTCTATAGACCAGGATGGCCTCAATCACCCTGAAATCTGCCTGCCTCTGCCTCCCAAGTGCTGGGATTAAAGGTGTGCACTACCATGCCCAGTTTTTTTAATGTAATTAGTCAAATATTTCTAAACATAGGGCCAGCCAGCATCATACACACCAAACACACTTAGGGGTTGAGAACTGTCTATGCATGAACTGTCAATGTGCTTCCCCTGGTAGATCACACACACAAACATACACACACATAAACATACACACAAACAGCTGGCCATGGTAGCGCATGCCTTTAAGCCGAGCACTTGGGAGGCAAAGGCTGGCGGTTCTCTATGAGTTCCAGGCCAGCTTGCTCTACATAGTGAGTTCTAGGCCAGCTGGGGCTACAGGGAGACCCTGTCTCAAAAAGACCAAAAAAGAACATACACACAAACATATATACGTATACCATAAACACACACAAACATGCACAGACACACAAACATACACACATGTATGCCACACCCTGTTTCCCAAATAAGAAACCTGAGGTTGGGAAGAAGAAAATGAATTTACTTGAGGTTATCCCCCAGTCCCAGAAAGAAATCCAAAGAATTGCAATTCTCTGGATGAAGTGAACTAGCCAGGATTGGCTGGACAGGCTATCTAAGGATCCAGCTCCAAAGTCAATGTAAACATTCCAGTGTATTCTGGCAGCAGACTCAGGAGCCCACCAGGAGCCCAGCCTGGCCTCCTGAGACCATAGCAGAGAACTGGTCCCATTCCCACCTGGATTGATGCTGCAGGAGAGAGAAAAGCTACTGTTCTAAATGGCCACTGAGGGCTGAGGAAGAGGGAGGAAGGGGCTGCTGTTGAGAATAGACTGTTCTGAAAGGAAGAGGCTGAGGCCAGGACAGTGGGGTGGGGCAAAAAAAGCAACAGGAGTGAGGGCAGCTCCAGAGACTCTGAACCTAATCCCCAGTTCCTACCTCCATTTAAAGTCTCCAGTCTCCCTACCCTGGCACCCGACATCACCAGACACATCTACAGATCCTTGGGAAAGAACACAATTAAGAGGGAAAGAAAGAGGGGTCTCTTCCCACCTAGCAGCCCAGTTAGTTGGCCCACTCTGCTTTCTTCCCCTTTCCAGATGTGGAGTGGATGCCCATCCATACCCGTGCTTTTGTGGGCACCTTGATTGGCTATGTCTACAGCCTGGGCCAATTCCTCCTGGCTGGTGTAGCCTATGCTGTGCCACACTGGCGCCACCTGCAGCTGCTGGTCTCTGTGCCTTTTTTCATTGCCTTCATCTACTCCTGGTACGTGGGGCCTGGGGCAAGACACCGTGACCCAAAGGCCCAGAGTGCTACCAAGGTACAGGACATCTCCCAAAGTTGGGCACACACCGCTCTCCAGAAACTCCATCACAGCCAAAAGGCCAACCCCAGTACAAGGATTCTGTGGAACAGATGTTGAAGCTGAGCCTGTGGGGAGAAGGTTTTGTCCCAGGGGTGCTCAGTTCTCTGGCATCCCACAGTTCAGTCCATCTGCCTGCACTCCCCCCTCACCCAGCACCCAGAGCTGAGCTTCTGGGTTCTGGAATGAGTCATTATCAAACTGGGAACTTCTTTGTGGTCCTCAGAAGGGGCATTTGGCTAGGGCCTTGGTCTCCAAAACTTAAATAAAATCCCACTGCAGGCCCCTGGAAATCCCCACTCCACCTCCAACCCAGGCAACTGAAACTGAGACCATGCAACGTTCATCCTCTCTCCATCCCCACCAGGTTCTTCATTGAATCTGCCCGCTGGTACTCCTCCTCCGGAAGGCTGGACCTCACCCTTCGAGCTCTGCAGAAAGTGGCTCGCATCAATGGGAAACAAGAAGAGGGGGCCAAGCTGAGTATAGAGGTGAGAAACCCCCTCAGAGACACCCCACCAGAGCTCCAACCCAAATCCCAACTTCAAGACCCAGGGCTCAGCTTGTCTAAGAAAGGGCTTGGATTAAGAGGATTCCCCAAGCGGAGCTCAGACCCCGAACCCTGCCTATCCCATTAGGTACTCCGGACCAGCCTGCAAAAGGAACTGACCATAGGCAAAGGCCAGGCCTCGGCCATGGAGCTACTGCGCTGCCCCGCCCTTCGCCGCCTCTTCCTCTGCCTCTCCATGCTGTGGTAGGCCCAGACAAACACGCTAATAGACAGGCGGGCAGATCAGAAGACAAAAGGTGGGCTTGGGAGGGTGTGGATGCAGTGTGTGGAAAAGACAGGTGAGAGGGGAGAAAAGTCAGCAGACCTGCTACAAGCAAGAGCCTTAAAAACCAAGAACCTCTGGTTTGCCTCAGTCCCCACCTCTAGGCTGGTCACTGATCACCCCAGTTTCTCCTCTCACCAGTCCTCTTCCAGTATAAACCATTTCACCAGGACCAGTGGCCTCCAGATCCAAAGTTGTACACTGTGAAGGCAGAAACCAGTGTGCCTGGCAAAACAGAGACTTATTGGTCTGGTGGTGTCAGCCAGAAACACAGGCACAGGCAGTAAGAGGACTCATACTCATTTCCAAATGTACACTTTGGCCAAGGATGAGACAAGCCCAAACCTTCCTTTCCCTTCCCAGTGCTCCACAGTATCTTTCTCATGTAATATCACCATGGCAACCCCAGGACAGTTTAGAGGGGTGTGATCAGAACTATTCTGCCAATGAATTCTTTACTTCCAATTTGGGATTTCCCAATTTTGGAGGGTTCTACCCAAAACCCTAAGCTTATTTTGTGAACCTCTGAACATTCGCCCTGGGATATGGACAGGTAGGTCTCAGAAGGTTCTGGCTTTTCCCAATACCTTGATGTGGTTTAGATATCCACATGTCCTCCCTCAGCCCAGCATCAGCAAATAAGATAAAGACTAAAAGTGTGTAAATGCTACATAACAACGAAACAACAATTCCCCAGCTCCCTGGGGTACCTAGTTATCAGAAGATTGGAGGACTGCCCAATATCTAAATGTACAGTTTGAATATGCAGTTAAGTGTCTGAAGAAACAATAGTCAAGGCAGATCCTTAGGGGTCCTTAAGCAGGGTACCCATGTATGAAAGAACACCCTCATTTAAGCCTGTTTGATCAGCTCCATGCCCCTCCCATCCCTACCAGGTTTGCCACTAGCTTTGCCTACTACGGACTGGTCATGGATCTGCAGGGCTTTGGGGTCAGCATGTACCTCATCCAGGTGATCTTTGGTGCTGTGGACCTGCCCGCCAAGTTCGTGTGCTTCCTTGTCATCAACTCCCTTGGCCGCCGGCCTGCCCAGTTGGCCTCATTGCTGCTGGCAGGCATCTGCATCCTGGTGAATGGGGTGATACCCCAGGGTGAGCACCTCCCAGCAGCTTGGCCGTCAAGTCCCACCTGCCCCACCGCACTCCCAGGCATAACCCAACTTCTCAAAAGAAAAAGAAGCCAATTCTCCTCCAAACCCAACTCCCTGATTTCCCCCTCCTTTCTCTCTAGACCAGCGGATCATACGCACCTCCCTGGCTGTGTTGGGAAAGGGCTGCCTGGCCTCCTCTTTCAACTGCATCTTCCTGTACACTGGAGAGCTGTACCCCACAGTGATCCGGTGAGTGGGAGCCTAACAGACAGGCTTAGGGAGAGACAGTCTCCTGTACACATTAAAGCCGGACCCCAGAGCACAATCTAGTACCCAAAAGCCCTCTTCAAACACTCACTGAGGTGAGCAAGGTTATACGAGTCACTCAATTCTTCAGGGTCTGGCTAACAGAGATGTGACTGCCCAGCCCTTCTCTGACCCTAGAGAAAATCTCAGAAAGAGTCACCATCTGAAGCAGAGTAGGGAGCCATGACCTGAAGACTGTCCAGAACATGAGTGAGAAGCTGTGAGTGCATCTACACTCCATGTTAAACCAAGGGGTACCCCTGAAACCAGACACAAACTTGCATGGACTTTCCTACTACAGAAACCACCGATGATGATACACTGCCAGTATAAAGGAACACAGCACCGTTTTAGCCAGTGCCAAGACGGAAGGGATGCATTAAGAAATAAGTGACATACTGGATGTGGAGGTGGCATGCCTTTAATCTTAGCACTCAGGAGGCAGAGGCAGGCAGCTCTCTGAGTCAAGGCCAGCCTGGTCTACATAGTGAGCTCCAGGTCAGCTAAGGCTACAGGAAGCCCCTGTCTCAAAAAAAAAAAAAAAAAAGAAAAAGAAAAGAAAAAGAAAAAGAAAGATGTGTCTACTCCAAATTGGATGCAGAAGTCACATGACTTATCAGAGATCTGAGATGGCATGGTGCTAGGATGAGAACCCTGCCGGGTCACAGATGCTGTCCCATGTCCTTAAGGTTTTCAGGGGCTAGAGTAATACGATAAAGCAGTTACTGAATACCAGGCACTGTCTTAATCATTTCACAAATTTTAACTCACTTAATCCTCATACCAAGACAAGGTAGGCACTGTCATTCTCATTTTAGAACTGTGAAAATAGCAGGCATGGTGGTGCATGCCTTTAATAAACCCAGCACTCGGGAAGCAGAGACAGGTAGATCTCTGTGAGTTCAAGGCCAGCCTGGTCTACATAGTGAGTTCCAGGACAGCTGGGGTGACTGTCTCAATAAGACAAAAAGAAAGAAGAAAAAAGAAAAAGAAAAGAGAAAAGAAATGTAGAAATAGAGGCACAGAGAAGTTAAGAGACTTCTGCAAGAGCACACAGCTAGTAATGAGTCCCAATGCAGTTTGCCTTCTGAGTCAATGTTTTTAACATCTTCTCTCAGACAGTGTTCTTCCCAGCACACTGCTTCCAGGTCCTTTCCCCTGGGGATTCTAATCTAATAGGTCTGTGTGAGACTGTGCGGTAGGGTACCTGTCCAGTAGGCACAAGGTCCTGAGTTCAATCCCTAGCACTACCAAAAAAGAAAGAAAGACACAGAAGCATCTTCCAGGTGATGATAACCTAAGAATCATTGGTTTACTCAACTGTCCCATGCAACAGTTGAAGAAACTGAAGCCCAGAAATAGAAAAAGACCTGCTCAAGGTCACACAGCAACTTAAGGACAGAGGCAAATTCAGTCTCAAATCTCCCAACTCTCTGACCACACCCCTTCCCAATTGCCCTTTTAAAGAAAAAAGTCACTAAAATGGGCCAGAGATGCAGGCCCGTGGTAGAGCATGTGCTTAGCCTGTGCAAAGCCCTGGATCTGACACTCAGCACAAGGATCAACAATAAAAATGTGGAATTTATTTGCTCATCAAATAAGAAACAGAGGAGGCACAGGGGTGTCCTGGATAGAGCCGCCTTGCTCTAAGGATGGCATTGTGCCAGAACTCTAACCAACACCCATCTGACCACAGGCAAACAGGCCTGGGGATGGGCAGCACCATGGCCCGGGTAGGCAGCATCGTGAGCCCACTGGTGAGCTTGACCGCAGAGTTCTACCCCACATTGCCTCTCTTCATCTTCGGCACTGTCCCCATGGCTGCCAGTGCTGTCACTGCCCTCCTGCCAGAAACCTTGGGGCAGCCGCTACCAGATACTGTGCAGGACCTAGAGAGCAGGTGGGTACCCCTCCAAGAGGAGCAGAGACTTAATCCAGGTCACCCATCCAAGCTGGGGTAGCACTGAGGCTCAGATCCAGGCCTCCCTTTCCAGATCAGGACTTGTCCCTGGGTCCCCAACTGGAAGATTCTCTTACAATCCTTTCTGGGAGGCTCAGCTCAGAGGAGCAGTCAACATTTGGGGGAGACAGCAGGTGGCTAGTCACAGCTGAGTGGAGAGCACCACCCCCACTGACCTCCCAGACCTGAGGCTCCAAACCCAGAGATCTGCTTTCCTTCCCCCAGGAGGAGAGGAAAACCAAGGCAACAGCAGCAAGAGCAGCAGAAGCAGATGGTACCACTCCAGGCCTCTGCACAAGAGAAGAACGGACTTTGAGGACTGAAGGAGCCTTATAGACAGCTAAAGGGAGTAGGGGTCTATGGGTCTCCTGCCCACCCACACAAGGAAGGGGAGCAGAGTGAGCCCAAGTGTGGGGGCTGCAGATCAGGGAAATGCCTCGCCCTTCCTCAGTAGACCCCACCAAGAACAATCATTAAAAGGTCTGACTGTGTGCTGAATCTTAAATGAAATGCACTCTGCAACAAGGGTCTTCCAGCCCAAAGGTCACATCGTCTGTCCCTCCCCTATCTCACACTACCCTCCTCCTCCGGGACATTACAAAGCATCCCAGACAATTAAAGAGGGCTCTCTTCTCCTATCCTGGTCCCCGCTATCTTCCATCCTTCTGCTTCTCCTATTCAAATATTCCTGTTTTAGCTAAATACCTGATGCCCCTCCCCTTCCTAGAAATCAAAAATCGATAAAAAACTGCAATGAAAGCAATCAGAGGCTCTACTGCAGGCCCTTCTCCCTCTGTTAGAGCAAACAGAAATCTCTGGCAGCCAAAGATTAAAACCATCACAAGTTTAATGTCAGGATGCTGGTCCCTGGAAGCTCAGACCACTAGCTAACCTAATTCTTCCTATTGCATTTGATGAGCTCTCAATGTTGCTTTGCCTCCCATGGACCCAAGAGCTGGTAAAGGGAAAAGAAGAGGACTAGGGACTATTGAACAGCCAGGGAGATCCAACACTGAGAGCTAATTATATGCCAGGTGCTCTCCTAAGCAATTTGCATAGATTCACTCAGTTTCTCCTCTCAGTGACCCTCTGAAGGTAAGTATTGTTTGGGGGGTAGTTTGTTTGGTTTAGCTTTTTGGGTTTCCTGAGGCAGGCTCTCCTATATCCCAGGTGGGCTTTGGATTTACTAAGTAGCCGAAGATAACCTTGAACTCCACCTCCCAGGTGCTTGGGATCACAGGCGTGAGTCGCAATGTTCAAATCTGGAAGTGGTGCTGTTCTAGTTCCGTCCTAAGTACTTTTCAGCCTGTGTCGGGGCCTTGTGGTATCCTCAGAGCAGGATGACCACTCCAGAGAAGCCTCAACCACCTGGCCCTAGTAGAGTGCTTCCCGAAAGCCACTTTCTCGGGGCTCCACCCTGCCATGCCTGGTCCCATACAAGCTTCTATTCCTCCTCTCCAGGAGTTGTATGACCCCTGAGAGCCTTTTAAAGAGCAGATGCTTCATCAGCTAAACTTCCAGATTTCTTGGTAGGCTGGAAAGATGAACAGCCACCCCCAAAGATGCATACAGCCAAATCCCCAGAACCTGTGACTGTGGTATCTGACATGTTAAAAGAGATCTTGCAAAATTGATTAAGTTAAGGGTTTGGAAGTTTAGAAATGATCCTGAATTACTTAGGTTAGCACAATGTGGTCACAACAGCATCTTCTTAGAGAGACAGATCAGTGGACAGTAGATGTGACAGCAGAAGCAAGAGGTCAGAGTGACAAGAAGGGACAAAAAAAATCAGTTCAAGGCAAGACAGAGACAATAAACTCCAATTAACTGTTACCAAAGTAAGTAACTTCTGATCATTTTCAACCAAATAAACACATTCAGCATTGTCAGCCCAAAGAATGAAAGTGGCTTCCAGAAGCTGAAGAGAAGGAATTGGATTCTTCCTTGAACCCACCAGAAGGAACATGGGGTCTTAGACATCTAGCCTTTGGAACTGTAAGCGAATAAACTGGGACTATCTGAAGCCTCTGTGTTTGTACTGATGTCTTAACAGCAGCAATTGGAAACTGATAGGCCTTTCTGGGGCCCCTCCAGGAGGCCCACTAGAGATTTTATTTTCCCATGCACTATGTTTTTGGTTAGGAGAGAGCTAATGATGTCTGGATAGGGACAGACCCCCATTATCAGGTTAACAGAGTTCATTAGCCCTTGGCTTGTAGATATTGTGGAACTTCTAGGTTCTTATTTTCTTTTTTTAATAATTTTTTATATGTCTTTAAACATTTTATTTATTTTTTATATTTTATTTATTATTTTTATTTTATGTGTGTGCATGTGTTGCCTGCATGTAGATAAGTGTACCCATGTTGTGCAATGCCTGCGGAGGACAGAAGAGGCTGTTGGATCCCCTGGAACTGGAGTTACGGACAGTTGTTAGCTGCCATGTGGGTGCTGGGATTCGAACCCTGGTCTTCTGCAAGAACAGCCAGTGTTCTTAACTGCTGAGCCATCTCTCCAGCCCCCTAGACTCCTATTTTCTAAACCCTCACCTGCACCCCCCCCATACTTGGATATCTGAAAACTATGGAAGGAAAATTTTTGTCATAGGTATAGGGAACAAAAGAAAAATACTACATCAAACCTGGAAATGTAGCTCAATTGGTAATTTGCCTCACATCCACAAAGCCCTGGGTTCCATCCTTAGCTCCAGTTAAACTAGGTGTGGTGATACATGCCTGTAATTCTAGCACTCAGGAGGTGGAGGCAGGAGGATTCAAAGTTCAAGGTCATCCTGGGCTTCATAGTGAGTTTAAGGCCTGTCTGGTATATATGAGATGTGCTGTCTCAAGAAAAGAAAGAAGAGGGGGAGGGAGGGGGAGAGGTGGGACGAGAAAGGAACAACGGGGAAGGAAGGGGA